TCTGGAAGTCTGGTTTTGAGACTTCTTTACGTGTTTTCTCATTTCGACTGGGGCGGAGGGCTGTTAGTGCCTGCATGGATTACCTCCTCTGAGCTGGGTGAGGTGGGACAGTGGCCAGGAGCAGCTGTAGGGATGGTGGCCCAAAAGCCCTTTCCTGTGGGCTGGGAGCAGCGGGAGGGATGGTGGCCAGGAAGCCCCTACCTCTGGGCCAGGAGCAGTGGGACAGGAGGTGGCTCAAAAGCCCTTTCCTCTGGGCTGGGAGCAGCGGGAGGGATGGTGACCGGGAAGCCCCTACCTCTGGGCTGGGAGCAGCGGGACTCAGTACCTTGGTCTGGTGGTCTGGTGTCCTCTGCATCTTTGTATTGTGGAACCAGGTGGTTGCCTGTCTGCAGCGGGGTGATTCGGTGTCTTCTGCCTAACTCGGGACCTCAGTAGGGCGTGGGCAGACCTGCCTGTCTGCAGCGGGCTGATTCAGCGTGTTCCATGCGACTCCTTATTTTCTCTCTTATAGTTTTAAATTTCTGAACTCTGGCTGTATTTTGTTTTTGTGGGTTTTTTTTTTTTTGATCCTGGGGGTCGAACTCAGGATGTTGAGCTTTCGAGGCAGGTGCCAGAACCACTTTAGTGAGCTAAATCCCTGGCCCCCTGGGAGTATTTTGATTAAATACCTTCTGTTGCTTTCCAGTTCACTAATTATCTTTAACATGTCCATTTTAGAGTGTGTATTTCCAATGCATTTTCCTTTTGATTTCAGTGGTTGTGTCTTTTCCAGCATTTCTAGTTCATTACTTATGATAGCCATTTATTCTAATTTTGACTTGCCTGTTTTTGTGTCATTATTTCTTTTTTTTAAATGGGCATTTTGGTAAGTCATTTTGATGATGTTTTGTTTTTGCATTTCAGTCTGTGAGAATTTGTCACCTGGTTGCAAGCTTTATCAGTTCTCTTAGTGTTCATTTTCTTCGTGCTATGGAATTTTACTGGTAGGTTCATACTGGATGGGAATTTTTTGTTTCTCTACTCTGTTTTCCCCTCATCTGCTTGCTTTCTTTTTAAAGAGCTTATCTTAATTTTGGTTAACACATAATAATTGCACATATTCGTGGAGTTCAGTGTGATGTTTTTTTGTCTATATGATTGTGTAGTAATCAAAGCGGCTTAACTATTTCATCCTTCACCGTAGGTATTTCTCATCTCTCATTGGCTCTCCCTGGTCCCTGGTTCTTTCTGTGTAGAAACAGGTCTTACTGACCCAGGCTCCTATCCATTGGCTCCAGGCTTGCTTTTCAGGCAGGGATGCAGCAGTGGCATGGCTTCTGTCAGCCTCCTTGCACAAGGGCAGAGCCTAATTTCAGGATGGGGGCTTTTTTTTTTTTTGGTACCAGGGATCGGGGATTGAACTCAGGACCTTGCACTTGTGAGGCAGGTGCAGTGTCACTGAGCCAAATCCCCAGCCCAGGATGGGGGCTTTTGGCCTGAATATCTACAGGAATGAAATATCTGGCCACCTCTGCTGGTTTCCGGCTTGGTAGTTGGTGGCCTGTCACTGAGTTGTGGTTTATTTCTGGGTTACAAAAGTGTTGATCTTGTTTTTGAGTTTTGTTGTGCCTTTTCTTTCTTCCTCATCTTTTAAAAGTATTTAATTTATACAGAGGGGGTAGTTTGAAGCATAACTTGCAGTTCCATCTTGACGTAAGAATAGGTTCAGGCCCTGCAGTTTGTCATTCAGGGCCTCTCGGAGTCTTCTTAACTGGCTTTTGAAGTTCATTTCCCTTTAATCCTGAGTATGAACCTTCTGTAGCTGCTAGGAAGTTTCTTATGTCTTTGAATATGAGCTGCTCCTCCTGCCTTTGTTACTTACTTACATGCTGTGTTCCCAACACAATCTACCTTCCACCTTTCCTTTGCCTCTCAAACTCCTTCCCATTCGGAGTTGGCTAATGTTCTACCCCCATCTCTCCAAAGCTTGCCTTGACCTCGCCTGACTCTTGCAGTCGTGACATTTTCTGAAGTCAGCCTGTTTGTGTTGGTCATTTGTCATCATGCCTCTCTTGGATTGAGAGACACCTGTCTTGCAGAGGTAGGCCTCAGATCCCTAAAGAATCACCTCCCTTCCCAACTCTGCTCTGTGACCTCTTTCTGACCCCTGCATTTCTCCCCCAGCCTTCTCCTTTACTTCTTTCCTTCTGTAGCCTGCTTAGGTATTTCTGCTTCTTTTCACCAACATTGTAAGTCCATTTGAACATTCTGTAGTCACTTCATTACTAGCCTCTAAAATTAGAGCAATTCAGCCATTTCTTTTGTTCACTCCTTGTCTCTTTTTGCTAAGCATTGTTGGAGAAAATCCTATAACTTTGCCAATTGGCTCCATTTCAGATGTTTTTCTAATTTACTTGGCCCATCAGTGCTCATAATTAGTTTACTTATCCCTTTTTGGCCCCCTTTCACTTCCCCACACTGGCTATTCCCAAATTCTTTTCTTCATCAGTACAACCTCTCCTGACCAGTTGACCTTGTCTTGAGATCTGCTGAGAACAGAATTTATCAGAAGCATTTCCTTCAGCTATCCTCTTCTCTATTTCTAAGGTTTTCTGCATCTGACTCATCCTTTTTTCTTTCCCTTTTAAATCAAAGAAACCCTAATATTTCCAAATGATAGTTTCATTTACCTGCACTGTTCTTTTCAAACTATCTCAGGTAGTTGCCTCATCCACTTCTTTCCTCTCCCATCTCTTCCGTCTTTCCCCCTCCACCCACCTCCTGGTCTCTTCAACTTTGAATATATTCATCCACACTGGGAGGGCTAGTGGAGGATGGGGAGGACTCCTTCCTTAGTCCTGTCTTCTCGCGCTTTCTTCTTCCTGGCCATCCTTGGGGAAGAGAAGCTTACACTGCCGCCCCCTCATCAGCCTAGTGCTTTGTTTTGTAACTGGAACACCTCCAAGTCTCTCTGAGTTACCACTGGCTTTTTAAAGGCCATATCTAATGGTCTCTGGTTAGTCCTCATTCTTCTTACTCTTTCCATAGTATTTGAAAATACTATTTTTCCTGTAATTTTTTTCCCCTCTGGTTCTGGGAATATTATTTTCCCCTGTTCCTTCCCATCCCCCTTAGATCATTATCTCTGTCTCCCTGTGCCTGGCACTAAGTAGTTTCCACCAAGGCATTGACCTTGGCTTTCATCTCTCATCTCTTTCAGGAGATTTCCTGAGCAGTGAATACATTCCCAATGTCCTATGGGTTTATTACCTAAGATGCAGAGAATGCATACTTCTTCAGCTGCCTCCTCCTCTTTGGCTTCTTGGCACAACAATTCCCTTTTTCTTTCCCTGTTTGGAATCATCTTTCACACTACTTCTGCCTTTCTGCCACATCTGGTCACAGAGTCCCATCAGTCCTCTCTCTGAAATGCCTGCTTTTTTGGAATGTTTCTGTATTCTTCCTTTGTTGCCATAATTGAGGTCTCTATGAACTATTGTGTAGCCCTTTACATTTTCACCCTGTCTTAATTTCTCCTGTATTGCTGTTGCTGTTAAATTTCTGAGACATATAGTGATCAGATTTTTCTCATATTTGCCGTTAATGGTTCCACTCTGCCTAGAGGATCAAGTCTAGCTCTTTTGGATTGCCATTTGTGGTCATCCCCATGAGACCGTGTTCCTCTCTATCTGTCTCCCCTCCAAGAGCTCTACATGGTGTCTTCTCTGTCAATCTGCATGAGTGCCACAACTTGCTTTGAGCCAAACATGCAATTCACTCTGCTTAGTTTTGTATTCCCTGTTCTGGCCTAATGGTTATTTAATGAATCATTTATGACCCATCCATGTCGAATGCCTTTTGCTTCTTTACTCTCATAGAGCTTTGTTTATACTTATATCACTCTTTATATTATGGTCAACTGTATGAGATTCTCTCTCTCCTCTACTGGCTTTTAAGATTTTCAGAAACATCTTTGTTTCCTTAGGTTACAGTATAAGAAATGCTAATATTTAGTGAACTAAAAGTTTGGTAATATATCCCTGTTTATGAATTTTAAGCTAAGATTCTTAGGAGCCCAGATGTCATTGTTAGCACATGAAACAATAATAAAAAGAAAACCCACCTTTCAGCTTTCATTTTAACATATTGTAATCTGGAAGTTGTCTTTTTTTTTCTAGAAATTTGGCTTTACTAAAATAAGAGAAAATAAATTTAAATTGAACTTGCATCTATATAATTTTGATGTTTGGATGAACTGAAAACACTCATGTAATGGTTGGCTGAGTCAAGCTGCGTGTCAACAATCTGTCATCTAACAATTGAGTTCCTTGTGATTGTTGAAAAGCATATATTAAATTTCCCAGAAAAAGATTCTATTAAAAACCATGTAGGAAGGTAAAAAAATATTTTACATAGCATTTTAATTAACTAAAATTGGGTTGCTAAATCTTGGGGTCCCTAAAATGCATAGAGAACACTACAGAAAAATGTGCATACCCTTTTCAAAGCCTATTTTCTCACAAATGTTCACCTGTTGGTGTTAATTATATATCTATATATATACATAGATATGGATATATATAGATAGATATTTAGCAGAGGGAAGTACTTTTAGAACCACATTTGTAGAAGTATCTACTTATGTGTACATTTTGCATGTTAATTCTTAGGCAACACAGAAAATCTGGAAACTATTGCAAACTATTGCAAAGGCATGAAGAGACCCAAGAGAATACAAGACAGTTATAGATAAATTTTCCCCAGTGTTGTGTTTTGTTCATTAAAACTTTAAACACTGGAGTTATATATAAAATCCTATATTACCAAACATGCATTTTTCTCTTTAATTATCTATCACATTAAAACAAACAATTTTTAAATGCTTTTTGCCTCCGTAGGGATAATTAGTAGGATATTTTGTTTGTTTTAAGGGACTTGGGAAAATGAGGAAATGTAGCAAAGAAAAAGTCAGTGTGGCAAAAGTCCATGAAGATTTTGGCACCGGATTTTGACCTTGTAGGAAACTGCCTTTCCAGGCTCTTCAGTTCTTTTATTCTAGTTATTTGAACATTAAAACATTGCCTCATTCATTTGCTGCCAAGGATCTGAATCTTTCATTATTCTTTACAATTTGCTGCTTTTGATAGCCAATTTATAGTTTTATTTATTAACCATCTGTACAGTACAGTATTTATGTCAATAATTAGTAGACATTTTTCTCTCATGATTAGGTAACTGGGCTGTTTAAAAAAGAAGCACCTCCAGAATAGCTAAATTTTTAAAGTTAATACCTACATGTGCCAAACAGATTAGTAGTGAATTTTCAGAACAGAACAAGTTGTCTTGATCTCCTTACCTAACACTTAGTTTTATGTCAAATCTCACTGCTTTCAGGAACAAGATTTCTTGATGGAAGCTTATATTTTGGCTTCAAAAATTTTGAGGCTGCAGTGTAAAGCAATGTTATTCTTATTTTCCAGGTTAAATTTTGCGGCACTGTTATTTTTATATTATTCATGCTGCACGAATATCATATATTCATAGTAAACTTGATCTAGTTTTATAATCCTGTTGAACTTACTGGCCAAATAAACTTGAATATATTATTTGAGAAATTAAAATCATTTGGTTACATAAATAAGTGCTAAATTACAAAATAATATTTACACCTCAGGTCTCACTTCTTTCACAACTATTTCTCTTGTCGTTGCCTTTTTTTTTTTGATAGTAGCAACAAAAACATTGGCCAGGCAAAATTAAAACGTTCATTAATCAGAATACTTAACCATGTGTGTTCTTCTACAGAAAATTTATTTTTAAATTTAGAATATTTCTGAAAATTCTTTTGGATTCAGTCTGGATGAAAAGAATTTTAAAATGTATTATTTCCTTTAGTGTAACACATATTGAATTTGGGGATAATTTAATATTTGTTTGGTCACACAGAATCATACCCTGCCTAGGACAGTATATGCCCTATGTTTTTGTAATGGTGAGAGAGAATGCTGGATTGAATACGTGGCGATCACAAGACAAATGCTAGAAGTTGTCGTGAGGCACTAGACTAAAGTGGCCATGGGTTCGTACTTTAGAGCCATACTGCTGGAGTTCAGTCTTATGTGACCTTGGGCAAACTACTTCATTGCTTTGTTCCTTAGTTTCTTCATCTATGAAATGGGTTGTCTGGAGCATTTAATGAGTGAGTATGTATCAGTTGTTTAGAATTGTGTCTGGCATACAGAAAATACACAATAAACGTCTGTATCGGAATAGTTGACACGCCAAGTGATATATCTAATTTATTAAGAACTCCAGATAGTTTTACTTTTAACCTATTTTAATAAATAAATGAACTGTAACAATGATAGCATTTTTCAAAAGCAAAATATATTTGCATTTCTATTATGACAATATAAAATACTTGGGACCAGAGGTGTTACGGATTTTAGATTGTTTTGGAAAATACATTCCTATATATTTAGGTCTCTTGGGGATGAGACCTAAGTCTAAATATGAAATTCATTTGTTTCATGTACTCTTTATCCACATAGCCTGGAAATGATTTCATGCCGTGTTTTTAGTGTGCTCGTGTGTTGACTGTAACATCATGTAAAGTCAGGTGTGGAAGTTTCCACTTGTGGCATCATGCTGGCACTCAGAAAGTTTTGGATTTTGAAGTTTTGAAGGTTTTCAGATTGGGAATTTTGGATTAGAGATGCCCAACCTGTAATTTTATGATACACTGATACTTGGAAAACACTTTATCTAGTCAGCAGTCCCCTTCGTGATTGCCAAAGCAGCTTGAAGTTATGCTTTGTTATGATGTGCATTAGATCAAACCAGAAACTAAGTTGGCTCATATGTCTGTCACTCTGTGCTGAGATTTCAAGTAGGGGCACCGCTGTTTGTCCTTGATGTTTTCTTAGCGTGGCTGAGTCCAAATGACCCAGAAGAGAGCCCTTCACATAGCCCCATGATGTAAGCATGCACTGCTTGAAATCTAAATGTTCCTGTCATCCTACACTGTTGCTCCTCCAGAGGAAATGCCTTGAAATCTTAGGATTTTAAATTGAGTAGATCTGTTAGAGTAACTTCCTTAGTCTATTTTCATTATGATTTTTATTTTGGATTGAGGAAAAAAGGAACTTAATTTGTCAAAAAAACCCACACTGAACTCAGAATAATTTGCTAAACCCTTTCTTTTACTGGGTACTGTGATTCCTAAAGATTGACTTATGTTCTTTCTTTGTAATCACTGTTTGCTACTCAAAAAATAACTATTTGGCACAAACTTTTTCTAGCTCTCTTTATCTTTTCCTGGTTTATATCTATTATCCATGCATTCTGATTGCATATCCTGTTCATTTTCCTTTTATAAAGTCAGTCTCTAATGTGACACGGGAGGACTTCTATTGTTACTTGAATGTTTCCTACTGCTTGTTAAGTTATGACTGCAAGACTCTTTGGCATCAATGCCTTTCGGTTATAAGATCAGATTTCTAAGATGGCAGTGCTTTGTATTCCCTTAATGGGAAGTATTTGGAAGATATTTATTAAATACAGACATTCTTAAGGAAATTATTTAAATGTCTGCTAGTTATTATAAGCATTAACATGCCATTGATATGTATTAAAGAAAAAAGTGTATATCTTTTCAAAGTTCATTCTAATTACCTTAAAATAGTTACAAATATCATTTAATATTTTTGAATAAAAATCAATATTATTTCCCAAAAGCTTAAGAATCTAGTTTAGGTAACTCTTCATCTTCAATTAATACTTAATTTTAATTACCACTAATAAATTAGCAAACCTTTTAAAATATAAAAGTTTTCTTGCAATTTATGTAATTGAATATCTCATTCTAACTTAGCAAATGCTTTATGTCCCCCATTTTTAAAATTCTCTTTTGCTTAGTTGATTTCATTTCTCTTTTGTATAATAGTCCCAAACTGCCTTGTGGTGAAGGAGGAAACTACATGATTTGCTTTGCTAGTAGTTTTCCATGTGATAGAATTTAACCTCAGTTTGTCTCTCCCTGCACAGTCCCTTCAGTCTGAATATGTTCATTACTAAGGCCTTGTCGTTCCGGCGAACGCTGTTCCATTCTCAGACACCTGGATACGCACTGTGGAGGAAAGCACCTGCTTGCTGGAAGGATATCTCTTGCCTTCTCACCTTAAATTAGAGAGAGCACTAAGAGAACACTTTCAAGAGACTTGAAACCAGAAAAGTGGTTAATGACTACTATAAGTGCACTGAAACTATGTTTATGGAGATTTCAACACTTTTTAAGACAGTTTTAATGTTAAATTTGGTATTTTGAAAGGTTATTTTTAATGTATTTCAGTAATATATTTGTTATTGGATTTACATGTACAGTGTTACATTATGTATGTATTGTGAACTTTTAAAGACTATTTTGATAAATTTATAAATATATAAAATTATGTAAAAACTAGACTATATTTTGATTTAGGCTTTTCTGCTGTTTGCTACCAAAAATTTGTATTTTAAACATGTTTAGTTTTAGTATGGTTTTTTGTCTACAATGAATAAATAATTCCTCCTTATTAAAAAAGGGGAGAAAGTTTTAAAAAGTGATTTTCCTGCTTCCTGCTGAATACAGCAGGTCAGTGCATTCTTTGGAGAACGTCTAACTTAAAGAGTTCATGCAAGTTTCTATTCACCACAAGTAGAATAGAATGTGTTTGATATGGCAAAATCCTTCCCCTTTGCTTTTGTTCTTGAGCCATTTAAATGAGCTTTGCATCCTTGGAGGCTGAAAAAATTTACCAATCAGATTTCACTGGATGTTTCTCCTGAGAGTGTGGTTTTTCTCTATGAAATAACAGAACATTCCAAATGCTTGTATTTCTTTTCTCCTTTCAAAAAGTGCTTTTTAAAAAAATGCCTTAAACAATTTATTTTGCTTATTTTCGGTCTTGTACTTGTGCAGAAGAGAGTTGCATACTTTAAAATCCAGGTCTCAAGTCTCCAAGAGCTCTGTCGCTAACTATACAATAACAGCTTCAGTGACCAAAAAGCACTTCAGAAGACTTTCTAATTCAACTTGAACGTTCTGTTTTTGGTACGAAGTGGTTGTCTTCACTGGTTTTAAATCAATGAAGGAAAAACTGGAAAACATGCTGCTAAGTAGTTCTCTAAATGAAGGAGTTACAGTATTTTTGAGCAGATTACGCTCCACCCCAGCACACACACTGGTTTATCTGGAACCTAATATGAAAATGAAGGGACCCCCTAAAGGATACTCATCCCCCTTTCACATAAGCATAATTTATATCCAGGCTTCATTTCTGTGAGGAAGAGTCAGGCAGCTTTAGTTCCTCTCTTCCAGGTTGCAGAAGAATGAACTACTCTGACACTGCAAGTGCTAGTTAAGTGAATTCCTGTCAAGCGCATGACTCCCAACCATTGAGCTATCTACAATGTACTGATTAGGAAGGGTACCTTGAAACTATTATATATGCTTCAGCAAGACTTCTTGTTCATGTTTCACATTTTTGAAAAGGCGTTTGAATGAATGTTTGACTCAGGTTTGTTAACATAACCTTTAATAACTGCAGGACCAAATAACTGCATTCAAAATGGAAAAAAAATGAATTGTATGTTTTAGGAATCAAGGATTAAAATAAGTGGAATTGTATATCTTTTCTAAAGCAGAGAAGTAAAATATTTTATTATGTGTTATTGTGAAAAAAGATTGATTAATTGTGTAGAAAGATGATAGTATTTTTTCAAATTATCATTGCAAAGTAATTCAGATGACATTTGAGAAGTAGGAGAAAGGGAACCATATTGATGTTTTTAGTTCTATGAACACTAATTTGTGTGCAGCTATTAAATGATTATAAAGTTGACTACTATAAATTTTCCATAATTATGTGTGTATATAAGTCATGTATATTCATGTGTATGTCTTTAAATTATTTATACACATGTGCATACATAGACGTATCAAAGGGGGCTGTATATAATATAGAAAGTATATAGTAAAGTAATCCTACCCTGATAATAAAAATTGCTTGACCTGTATTTTGTTATGAATAGTTTATCTTTCAAAAGATATTTTGTTCTATTTTAAAGTATAGAATTCACTGCTAATAAATAATAAAAGTTTTATGCAATTTACTTATTTTACTTTTGACTCAATGTGGTTGATTTCTTTTAAATTTTCAAGATCTTCATTCTAAAGTTTTAGTTTATCTTTGACCCCTTGAATTTCACAAAAATTATTTCATGTCAGGTTCTACTTTTCTTTTTCTTTCTCTAATTTTTCTGTTAATAAAGCACTGATCAGAACCAGTGTTGCAAGCGCTGCTAGGTCACTGATGACTATCGATGACTACTGTGTGACAGTGTTTATCGGTTTCTTTTGAGGCAGAGTGGCCTTTTGTGTTAAAGGAGAAATCGCAGAAATAAATCAGCTGGAACAAACCTCATCTCTGTTGGGTCTGTATCCCGATGTGTCAGCTTGGGAGGAAGAAGCTCCACTACTTAATTATCAGTATTTTGTGTATTAAACTGGATCTTTGGGTTGTGATGTTTCCGAGTTGTTTTTTATTTATTTTTCTTTTTTCAGAAAACAAAGGGAAGGTTGTGGGTGGGAAGGTGGTTTTATTTCTGTAGTTAGGAATCTGCAATTAACTGACCTGCATGAAACAGTTGAGATAGCAAGGTTATCATGGGCCCATAAAGACATTTCTTATGAATCCATAAATCTGTTTAGAAGGGCAGAAAAATCTTTTTTTTTAAAGATTGAATTATTGTGAAAAATAAAGCGAGAAAAGGAAAACAATGACCTAGTTTCATGGTTTGTTATTTTTAGATGCGAAATGATTCCTAAATCTCAAAACACATTTGGAAAGACTATATATAGTCATTTATGATTAAAATACAGCAAAACATGAATTTACCAACTATAAAGCTACATGAATGTATTTGCAAAATTGTTCTCTCTTGTATGCTTTCTCTAGTGACATTTAAACATTAATATGTTCAAAGTTTCTCTGCAGCCCAATTGTTGATGTACGTGCAGAACATACTCTGTAGTGTTTCCTGTCATGTAAGAAGTTCTGCTGTTTCTCAGAGTCATACCGTAAGGCCGATTTAATGATAGGGACAAAAGCCTTGCGCTCCTCTTTGCATTATGCAGCAAAACAAGAATTTGGTCCTGGTGTTTCTTTTCAAAAGATTAATTAGGGATAATTCCTCTTACAATGGGATATAATTTAAATCATAAGATAACACTCCTTCATATTATTCACATATGCATATGGGTGTCAACTATGGCAAATAAAGGAAAGCAGAAAATAATTGTATTAAGTTATTTTGAGCTGAATTGATATGTTAATATATTCTCACCCAGTTCTTCCTCTATGGATTGAATTATAATCATATCAAGGAAAAAAATAGCTTTCCTAGAAAATTTTGAAATTTTTTTTATCAATGCCAAGTAGAAACATATTAAAAGGTGGCTTTCAATGCAAAATATATTTTGGAGGGTCTGGTTTTAAATGGACAAACAAATTAGCTGACACTTTCCCTCTCTATGCCTTGTTTTAACTTTGCACACCACCAAAATGGAGGTGAATCATATTACTACCTCTTCCAACCGGGCCTTTGGTTTGAATCAAGTTGACCAAAACATTTTTGAGAAATTGGACTGCAAGCAAAATATAGGGCATAGTAGGACTGTAACAGCTGCAAATGCTTACATTAAGACTTCAGATCTGGGGGGAATGAGCCATTAAATATGTTTTGTTTATTTATATTATGATACTCTTCCAAAATGATCTGCAGTGACTTCCAAAAACAGCAAGTGTTTTTGTGCCTCAGTGGTAGATCCCTGGCTTAGCATGCATGAGGCCCTGGGTTCAATCTCCAGCACAAAACAAAATGAACTAAAACAAAACAGCAGGTGTACTAATGGTGAGTGAATTGGGGCTTTAAAGACTGAATTTTGAAGCAGTTTATGCTGGGACTTAGAGCTGAAATAAACAGGCCTCTCAGATAACAGGATTCTCGCTGCCTAGTTTGGGAAACTGTATACCAGATACATACTGTTCGTCAATTCCAGGATGCCTCACTGGGATTTATTTTACTCAAAATTTTAAGAAGAAATAAAATAAAAGTGTGCTGATTAATCTCAGTTGTTACCTTAACAACTGGATTGGCAATTGGATCATGGGAACAATGCACTCATCAGTTGTAGTTAAACATGCTGTTAGGAGGTCGTTCCAGTTGGAGGTGGGTCACAGCAGCATGCTGTAGAAGAATGTGTCTTTTGGCTGGCATTCTTCCCCTGTGTTGTGCTTCCTGGTCTCTGTGATGTGAGCAGCTTTGCTCTACCATGCTCTTCTACCATGATGTTTCTGCCTTGGAGCCAGCTGACCATGGACTGAAACCTCTGAAACTGTGAGCCAAATTCAGCTTCTCCTTTCTAACATTGTGGGTGTCAGGTATTTTGTCCCAGCAGTTGGGAAGGTGATTGATACACAAAAGCGAGATTGTCAATCAAGATGCCCCTAAATAATGTGAGGTACATGGAATAAAAATTTCAAAAGACAAAGCCAGAGATCAGAAGACTACCATGAGAATCCATCTATTTGTCATCTATCACATACTTGGCCCTTACTAGAGCCAGTGTAAGTACAACATTTCCCTCTGCTTACTGAGAATTTAAGCTTTGGAAGAAACATGGTCCAGGAACTTGAGATTAAAGGAGCTGCTTCATCTTTGTCTAAAAAAAAAAAAAAGAAAACTCTGAAGGAGAGGAGAGGGAACCATGTCTAAAATCTAGTTTCTAGTAGGCAGATTTTAACACCATTCCAAACATTTTATGAGAGATACCGTATACAAGAGGAACATTCCAGACAGTTTGTCTATTCTTAAAGATATAACCAGTTATCTTTTCATGCAGCTTGACACTGTGGTATGGATCTGCTCTGTGTGACTAGAGGGTTGAATAGGGCTAGATCTTCCTAATTTGAGGAAATTATAATAATTCACATCCTATTTCTCCCTTGGCCACTTTTCACACCAATCTGTTTCACAATCATAGTAGCCACCCCTAGACTTTTCCTACTATTTCTGGTCTAACTAGTACTTCCTTTACTATTTTGAGCATATATCTTCAATGACCAAGGGATAAATGGCCGGGAGCTGCATGTAGCAACACTGCAGCAACAGCTGTGATCAGTGATCAGATACAGCTGTCATCACTCACTGGGGCCAGAATCATGGGGTTCTGAGTCCCATGTTACATAACTCAGGAGCCCCAGGCTGCACCTTCTTTTTCTCTAATACTGCAGCAGAGACTGAATGAGGGACACTGCCTTGTCATGACAAGTGCTGAGCGCAACCTTGAAAATTGACTAAGCTGACAAACAGTTTAGAATAGCTTGATCTATTTTAAAGTCAAATCTGTTGGGAAAATTATCCTTAATTAAGGATATCTGTTTAAGTGACAGGTCGTTAGGATTGTTAAGGTAAACCAAAAGAGAAAAAGTTCACCTCTCTGGTCTGGAGGAGGGTAAAAGTTAATTGTCTAGGGAATCTTAGAGAGACAGGAAAACCCTGTGTGTCTGTGGATCCCAGGACCACTCCTCGTTCTTGATTCTCTAGAAATACAGGACTCAGCATAGGGCTGCATGCACAGCTAAGATGTATTACAGTGAAAGAATACAAAGCAGAATCAGCAAAGGGAAGAGGCATATAGAATGATCTTAGAATGGCATGATCTTCCTTTGAGTCCTCTCCCAGGAGAGCCACACAGGACCCCTTAATCCCTGAGTTGTGACCACATGTGTGAAGCGTGGTCTACCAGGAAACTCATTAGAGATAAAGCATCCAATATTCATACTGAGGGCTGGCCATGTGGGCTGGCTAGATGGCTCTAGAACGAAACAAAATTCCAGACTCCCAGAAAGGAGGCAGATACTTACCATAAACCATATTGTTTGCAGAGCCTGGGCACAGTGAATTTGCCTTATCATTTAAAGGAAGGTTTATATCAGTGGAGGGGACTATGACCAGTTAGCTTCTGTGGCACAAGCCAAAGCCGGCCTTGCAAACAGGACAGCAATCCCAGGCCTGCTATTGAAACATTTTCCCATACTGCCTATATCTTAGTCAACCAATTTGGTAGTAACCAAAAGCATAGTTAAATTAATGTACACTTTTATTACACAAGATTAATCTAAAACCTCTATTTTCAGAAGATTTGTTTAAGGAGGGGAAGAGTTGTGATCTAAGAGATAGGAGCTTTTTTTTTGGACTCCAGTGCTCCAGAAGGGGGATAGTTCTGGTGTTGTTTTGTCTTTTTTTTGGTTTCTCTTTTTATTTTTATTTTTTGAGACAGGGTCTCAGTAAGATGCTAAATTGCCCAGGCTAGGCTCAAACTTCCTGCCTCAGCCTCCTGGAGGGGTGGGATTATAGGCATGTGCCACTACACTTGGATTTTTGTTTTTAAATGGGTAAATTTGGAAATGGCACAGCTTCCTTTTCTAAAAGGCCACAGTGGACACTACCATTCAGTGTCTCCAACACCCCAGTCACTCAAGCCAAACTAGAGCAGGGAAAACTCACCTAATCTTTGCCTTAAGAGATGAACTATGACTGGGGGTATAGCGCAGAGGTAGAACACTCACCTAGCATGTGCTAGGATCTGGGTTCAATTCCCAGCACTGTAAATTAAAAAAAAAAAAGAGGTGAGCTAGTCTAAAAATTTCCTCACAATATCTATGCCACCTACCCGTTATTTAACAAATAAAGGATAAAATGTAGGTTAGTGCAATTTTAAATATTATGGCTTTTTTAAATGTTAAGAAAGAATAGCTAAACATGATTGCAAGAAAGAGAATACTAAGGATCTTTTAAAAAGATGTACTTAAAAATATAAATTAAAATGATAAAATATTGATACATTTTAAGGGTAAAATATGGATACAAATTGATACATTTTGAAGGCTAAAATATTGATACATCTTAAAACTGAAATATTGATACAAAGTCATACATCTTAAGGCTGGAGTAAGATAATACTTATAGATTTGTAATATTTGGTGCATTGTCTGGCTCACAGTAATTATATAATTAAAATCTGCAAGTCTCAAGTCTACAGATGTCAAGCTGGCAAT